CTATTCTTTGCTGAAATCAATACAAGGTCAGTAAACCACTAGTCATATTTATTTATATATATACATACATATATTTAAACAAGAGACCACTAGGCATTATAGTTATTGATGGCGACATTATTCTATCAATACAATATTGTACCTTCTGCCCACGTGGTGAATCATAGATAACTTTGGTCATCGCAAAAAATAGACAATTTGTCCGGTACCGTACTTTAGTCTAACTGTATAATTAATTAAGGCTCTTCGTAAGTATGATTAAACTTGTCTTGACACCTTATATTATAAGCAACATTCATGTTTAAAAACCGCAGTGGCTAATGCCATGATGTTTATGCTTAAATGCCTTTTCAGTATGTTGTCTTTGCAATATTTACACATATACATGTTTTATGATTTAGTCAAATTAAATTTATTGACATTATAAAAACCAGTTTAGAAATAATTATTATCTAATATAATTAATATACTTTCATTTGGTTTATTAAGTTTAAATAGTATGTAGCTGTGTAATACTTTGCCACTTTTGCAGAATAATGAAATAAAAACGCATCTAAGCAAATGATATATTTTATTAGATGAAATCGACTTCATTAGGTTTTGTCCTTCAGCATCAAACATTTTCGGTGAAATTATATTTAATGACAACTTAATAATACTAAAACTTTGACTGAGATATTTTATGTAAAAAAATAATACGGAACTCTAATCTTAGAAAATTAAAACCTATATTGGAATTGTAACAGCAAGCCATAGTTTTTTTTATATGTTTTGTTACTTTTGCCATAAAGAAGTGTCTTTAGCAATAAATACAGTACTTATTTACATAATGAGTCATTGGGTAAGTTTGTGACTTCCGTGAGGACCAGGTGCCATCATCAACACGATCGTGTGGGAGTCATTGAAGTTTGAACATCGATTTGCGACGAAACCAGTGAATTGTCAATCTGTGTGGTACGTCGTTTTTACGAGGCAAATTCATGTATCATACGAATTTATAGAGAAAAAAAATCAGTCAAGCGTTTACTACGACTGTTTCTGCTAAAAAGACATGATCTTTAAAAAAGCGTGATTTTTAACAGCAGAAAGAAGAAATATCTTTACTTACAAGAAGGCTTATTAAAAAACAAAAACATATGTTTGGAGTGTTATTAACTTTTCCAGTAAATATTTATAAAAAACAAAACTGGTTACGTACCACACACATTATAGGGATTGTTTACTTTGAATAATAAAGTAGTTTCGACACGGTTGTCGATAAACCAATTGAAGATAATGACTTGGCCCCGTCTTTCCCGCGAATAAATGCCGGCAGTAAATAACTACGTGACTAATTATGCGCCATTACCTTTACCGTGCTGTGTTCCGAAATTTATTACAGCAAAGAGAGTAAATTGCACATTGTACATTAACACAGCAACTTCTTAAATTGATTTATTATCTGTTACATAAATTTATCAAAACTTATTTGATGAATTACTCCGATTTAGTCAATCAAAAAAAGTAAAACGATGTTTTCTTAAATTTTAGTATCGTTAAATTTAAACTAGAGTTTTTCTGGTGACAGACACATCTGATAATGAAACTGTTTTCAACAAGACGCAAGTGTGGAATTACAAATATGCAACAGTACCTATGTCGCTCTAATAGTCTTTATATTACCAAAATAGTTAGCCTCCTGTACAAATTAGGTTTTATAATTTATACTGTTTATTGATGTTTACCATCCAAAAGGAATCAAAATCACCTAGATAGCGGTCTATAAAAACCTAACAGCCAAAATTTTACTTGTAGGTAGATGTTTATTGCGTAAATAAAAGTCCACATCGCGATGTTTTCCGAACGATTGACGAGTGTCCTCCAATCCATTTTTAATCAGAAGCCATGTAGATCGCTCCCTATATGGTGTAATTGACAGTCCTCGCCCGCCAAATCAAGTGTATATTATTACAATAAATCATCGGGGACTGTAAATAGATTGGATATTCAAGCAACCCCTAGGTTTCTACAACTAGAACAAACGAATTCTTTCGTTCTATAGATAGGAATGATAATTTTTATATGTTTTGTTACTTTCTTCCTACTACTTATCTCTCTCGAACAAGACACATATTGCAAGTATTGGCCGAGTGCGGCCACGGAGGTCGTCAAATTTTTAGTACAAACCACTGTTTGTACACCGGGTTTCATGGTGTCGCCGCTCGAGAGGTCCTCGGGTTCGAATCCCGGTGGGGGCACATGTTTGTGTGATGAATACGAGCATTTGTACTCCAGAAATGGATCTTTATTGAGAAATGATTTTTATATAAATATGCTTAAATATGTACAATTGTTACAGTATATGTATTCTATCCGTTACCCTAGTATCCCATAACACAAGCCTTATAGTGCTTAATTTGGGACTAGGCTAATTGGTGTGAGTGTTGGAAATATTTATCTTTATATTATTATACTAATGGAGTACCTAAAAATATTATTTGATGAAGATGATAAAAACACCTCAAATTTAATTCACTGTCTCAAGGTAATTCTGACAGTGATTAAGAATTGAGGTTATATTACCGTCACATTTTTTTCTTTATTTAATATTTATAAATAGATATCATAAATTTCAAAATATCTTTCATTAAGGAAAAGTTAAATAAGTACTAAATCAGGCTCAACTTTATGTTGATATAATTTAATAGCGTCATTTGCATAAATAATCGGAATTAGTTAAGGAAATCAAAAATTTTATACCTATCTCAGACAGAAACACTTAGGTCATCTTGTTTTTATACTATCTAGAATTCGTTTGCATGCAGTTGCCCATGTAGAGTCACGATTTATAATTCAAAAATCAGGTGGTAACAGAATCGTAGAGGTTATGGCAATGACAGGCATAATCAAGATACTGTGCGGCGAAGTGATAAAGTAATGAAAAAAATGGGACTTGAATGATGTAAACTTCAACGGGAAAATGGTTAAGTTTATATTAAAAAGACTTTTTCCCCATTCGCAATATGAAAAATTTACTAATGTTGGACAATGACTGGCCTTTTTTATAAGCCAATGACGTAGGAAACGCTTTATTATTTATAAAATAGTTATTATTAACTTTCAATTTACTAATTATATAATTAATTAGCCATTATCTTATACCAACGTACTATAAATACCTATTAGCTACTTTTTATAACTCGCTGATTACAAAAATAAAAGAACAAGCGTAGAACAAAATACAATTATATTTTTACTAGCAAACCAGTGAACCAAATGTTCACAAAAAAAAAAATGTATTTAATTAATTGAGAACTTCGGAGATTTTGTGTGGTTTCGTTTGAAATAGAAATCACGTGATTTCTCGAAAACCGGAAGTGCTACGTTACTCACATCCGGTTTGTAGTCTTATCAGACTATTCTCAACTTATAACTTAAACATTCTCTTTATCTATCTCTTACGGTTTGGCCGCTGAAACAGCACCACGGACGGACGGACGGACTTGTCTAATAGATAAGAGATATTTTCGTGGTCACTAACATTATAGCTATTAACGGGATTGTTACCATGTACCTTGTTTATTTATGAGATTTGTATTTTTTTTTTTTTTTTATGATGAAATATCGGAGACTTATAAAAAACAAGGTACATACTAACAATCCCATTAATAGCTATAAAATTATATTTTTTTTGTAAACACAAAGTGGATATAGTTCTGAATTTTTTTTTCCTATTTTCGAAAAAGTTTTATTGAAAGTTTATCTACGAATGAAGTTAATGTTATCGATCTCAAGATTTTGATAATTATGTTACCGACTTCAAAAAAACTAAATTTCTGAGTAATATAAATTTGACTTTTATAAGTTTTTTTATTTATTTATAGCGTATTGAATTCCTCGCGCTATCCCTTCTGTGGAATTGCCGGAGCCTTCTGAAGCAAGTCACCTTAGTGGCCATATGCAGTGAGGACAACCAAATATGGTAGCATCTTGTTCCGGTGCCAGTGGCAGCCACCTCACCTTACATATACGGGAAACGAGGAAATGCCTATATTTTGGCTTTCTTCGATGAATTCATTGGCTAAAGGTTCACCGAGAAAAAAACAAAAATCCACTTTTTATTGAGAAGAGGAAGTAATTATTACTTTATTCGTTTCGTAATTAAGGCAAAGACTTTTTGTTTGGACATTTTTGTGAGTGAATAATAACAGGAACATCATTTGCCATTTTAATATCTTGTATCATGCAAAACCATGGTAAAACGCGATTCTAATATTAACGCTAATTGTATTTGTTTAGTATGAAAATATGTTTTCCTCAACTCGCGTACTTACAGTGCCAGTTTATTTCAAAATACCTAAATATTGACCTGAAACGATTCCCTAGAATTTTCACAGTGAGTAAATGGAAGTTCCATGTGAGCATCAATCAATCCATCTAAGTAGATGAAATGTCATCAAAGGTAAATTTTAAAAACTTATATATGAAACCTATTTCAGATTCCTCCTACAAATTATGCTATTTAATGCACTTTACGTAATGAAAATTCCATTGAGCCAACTTTATGTGTCACCAGAATGATACCTAACTGTTAGAGGCACTATTTGACACACTATTTATACATATAGCATTGATAACGAGAAAAGCTCATTTTCTATGAGAACTATTATGGGTACGCCAATAGGGTAGTTAATATCATTGGTACTTTAAGAGTATTGATTATGAGATTTTGTAAAGCCAGGGCACTATTTGCGAACTATTTTTGTGTGTCAATTTCGTTGCTTAAATATATGCCGTTCTTGGGGACGGCCATGGGTAAGCTAGCTTGACGTCATGCTAGCGTACATAATAAAAATGGCCTTTATTTCTTAAATTAAAGAGGCACTATTTTTTTTTATTTTTACACTAATTTGGCACTATTTACGCAGTATTTAATGGCATAACGAAAAACCGTATATTGATCGTGTGTACGCTAGCATTACGTACACCATTTATGCTGATCAAAAAAGTTAGGTACTCACCAGCGCGGAACACTTCGCCGCAGCCATCGCAGCGGCTCGCGAACTGAGCGTCGTAGCAGTTGCCGCAGTAGATCTTGTCCAGCTTGGAGCCGAACTGCTTGTCCACCAGCGACACGCGGCACTTGGCGCACAGGAAGCACGCCTCGTGCCAGTGCTTATCTTTGTACGACAGATCCTGGGTAAAGGAAAACATCAACATTTTAACATCATCGACATCAGCCTATTAATGTTGGGTCCAGTGTTGCCAACTCTACGTCTTTTTACGTAGATCTACGTATTTTAGGCCTTTTCTGGAAACCTACTAACTTCAGTCCCAGAATCTACGTATTTTCTTATTTTTTTTTTCAAATTTGTAAAATAACTTAATTCACTAGAATAAAGAAGAATATTTTCCGTTACTTTACTTAAAAACTATACAAATGTTTATTTCTTATAAAGATGTATCTAAACACTCTTGTATCTTGTAGAAAAGGTTCCCGTTATTGGTTTTGTTGACTAAATTAATGCTGGACGCAGGATTTGTGAAAGCAGAAACGACAAAACTCTTTGACTTAGTAGGTACATTCATAACCTTAAAAATTGTATTTTTAAACTTTTACTACTATCTATGAGTACCTACTCACATGGAATTGATCTTTGCAAAAAGAAAAGACTTTCAGTCGATAAAGTTACAGGATTTAGCAAGTTTTAAGCATATGTTCATGTGTAAGTATGTTTTTTCTCTTGGCAATTTAAACCACAACTTTTCTAGAGTCTTTTACCAAGTGTATCATGATAACTACATAGTAGTATAATTTAAAATAAAAATACAATTAAAATATTAACTTAGCTGTTTATTTCCTACGTGCTTGCGAGTGTTTGTTTACAAATGTTTTGACGTCATAGCATAGATAAGTCTAAAGAGACTAAAGAGCGTTTTTGTATGTCTTCTAGGTAAAAAAAAATGTTTTTTCGTTCTGATAGAACAATTATTAACAATTTAAAACATAATTCCAAAAAGTGTCAACTAGCCCATTTAACAACAGTTTATCCTTGTCATTCTCTTTACAGAGAGAAGAGACTGATGTGAAATTAAGTTTTAAATTTAGAGAACCATCCAGAATCGGCACCCACCAGTGTCTGTGTCTGATGGCAAATGTTTACCACAGCATGGTAAATGCTTCCAAATTTACAATGCAGCAACTTCTCCAAGAACTCTTTGTTCTATCTCCCGTTCTTAAACAAATTTTATAACAAAATACTCGTTTTATTCGATTTCAAATAACTTCTTCATTTCACTCAGAAAAAAGTACGTAGATCTACTTACTTTTCATATGCAAAATATACCAATTCTACGTAATTTTCTCATCGGGCCTACGTCTTTTTCAAAATCCGAGTTGGCAACACTGGTTGGGTCACAGGCTTTCCTATGGATGGGATAGCGAGATTAGGCCATGACCCACCACGTGGGCTTCATGCTAACGACTGTAGACCAGGACCAACAGCTTAACTTGCCTTCCGGAGGGAAGAGCTCGATATAATAAAATTTGCTAACCACATGAGCCTCTTCTATTTTAACACCATTTAAAACTTTTGCTCGGCTTTTGGGAGTGTTCAGCATTATAATAAACAGAGATTTATCGATAACTAACCATTAAACTCATTTGTTTTTAAAATCAAAAGATTAAATCAGTGTCTTTAGGCAGATTTACATTGATACAGAAGCTGGATCACGTTATATGTGCCCGATAAAGGCGCTGGTTTTATTTATTTATATAATTGCACATGTACATGTATGGGATCTAAAACAATTATTTTAGCTTGGTACATGACTCTGCCAGGATGTTGCAACTATAATATCTATATCTAGACAGCTATTAAACTAAAAAAAACAAGTTAGTGAGCTTTCCATGACGGTTTCACTTCATAAAATCATATACTGAACAGTATGCTTTTTTGATAAGATGTTGTTTGAGTTTCATTTTAAATGTATTAATGTTGCTTTGTCTTTTAATTTCTATCGGAGTTTTATTATATATCAGTATTGAATGGTATAGAGAACTTTTTTAAACATTTCTAGTTTTGGCACTGCTAATACAAAATTATATATTTATATCGCGGATTACTTGTCTGGCTGAACTGGCACTAAGTGTTTACACGGTTGAAAGGCTGGAATATCAGCGATTTTGACGCCAGCTACGGTACTGGATAAATTGACATTCAAATCTGAGGTCTGTGGCGTGTTGTGATGGTCGCGCTACAGAGATCGTTTACAAGCTTAAAAGGATGCAAAAATTGTTGAGCTGCTCTAAAATCTTTCTTTAGTTTACAAACAACCCGCTCTAAGATTATCAAGAAAATGTTTTTGGTAACTGCAACATTAGGCACAGGATTCAAAATCATTTCGTTGCTACACAAATCCTAGTAGTTCCACGAAAAGCTTGTGGAACTTTGTACAACATGTACGTTTTGACAGAAATAATAACTGCAAACGTTGATTTGCATCCTTCAGACGTTATTTATTACGGATCAATCAAACAATAAGTTATCTAATGAAGACATCAAGTACCAAATTTGGGCAAATCGATTCGATCCACCAATAAATCAGTAGGACTCGCAACGAACACAAACAACTTAGATTTTCCATTAGCACGACAAATGTCGCGTGGGTTGTAATTATTGTTGGAATGAATACGATGCGCAGGCGCAAGAAGGTTCGAACTTACGTATATTTTTGTACATACATAGGTCCGTTTTCAAGGATAGAACAACTAAATAGGTAATGCATGTTGTTGAACATTCTGTGTTCGATGGGTGAAACACAAATAACTTCGTTTGAAGCGATTACAGAAAATCATGTTTTTTAAGACTGGGTTTATCAAATTATTTAAAAACTAATTGTTTACTTTTTATTTTGGACATGTGTAAAAATTCAAGGTTCTTATAAAGACAAGAGAAAAAAATTTAAGAATATGCTGAGTGCAAGAAACTTAACGCGCCTGTAATGTGTAAGTTCTTTCAATACATTTCATACACTTTATCTTCGATTTAATGGTGAATTAAAAGTACCAATCCTGAACTTCTAACCGATTTTTTTTTCTGTTTTTTTTTTCAAAATTAGAAATCATTTGAGTGCCTCTTTGAAAAATGTCGTTAGTCTTATTATTTTATGCTAAAAGTGAGCCAAGGCGAAAGGCGTGGATGGGTTTTTATTGTTATATTCCTTCGCGTATTAGACTTCAATCCCCTTATCAATAAACGAAGAAAGGTGAGCTTGGACTACTGACGCAGTGTTTTGTCTACGTTTTTCGACTTGTGTCATTTGAGTGATGTGAATGTGAACAAAACACTGCGGAGCTTCCATTTTGCTTTCGTCTTTTTCATTGTTTTTATTAACAATATTTAGACTTTTATCAATATTTGTAAATAGTTTTTTACGGGTTAATGCACGAAACTTTATTTATTTATTGACGTTTCGTAGCCTTTACAGGCTACGTCGTCAGAATCAAATTTTATTTGAAAATGAAACGTGCGTGAAAACCTAAGAAACAAATATAATATTTGTAAATGTCCATCGTAGGTAGGTATATAAATATTTATACCAAGGGAATCGTTGTAAATGTACTTATGGTTACCGTTTTGTATCAAGTATTTCGTATAGATAGATATTAAAGATATTCTATATTAAAGATATCGTGTTTCTGCTTCACTGCTCTTTTTCCACTTGAATGATGTACAATGATTTCTTGTGATTAATATTATACTTATTGCCTCTTACATATATTATACATGTACTTCCATTTTGCTATTATGGGGACTTTTTTGGTAAATGACGATAGTTTTACTAAATACATTTATAAAAAGATCTATAGAATTTTGACTATATGTTCGAATGCATAGCAAGTATGACTAGGAAAATTTTTATTCATATTAACTCCATCAGCTTATAATAGCAAGACTTCTGACATGGACAGTACGATACTTTACAGTAGTATGAAAATGTTATTAAGTAATTACTTACGCTCATCTACGTCATGCCTAGAACCTACCTTTATATCTCAATCTATTAGACACCGCTATGTAAACACGTGGGATCGACATCATTAATCTTAATGTCATTATTATAAACCATTTTCGCTGATTTTGAATAACCTGTGCCTACATCAACTATGTCATCGTCTATTTTCAAGCGTGATTCAACGCAAATAAGTAGCTTACAATTATACACAACAGTAACAAACACAATGAGACTTTTTTGACAAGCGATAATAATTAACAGATGCGCACTTTTTGCTAGATTCACACAGTTGTTTAAACTTCTTTACAATACAAAGATAATTTGTGTCATTTTGTGGAGAATTTAGTGTGTGAAAGTTTTGAAATTACTCTGCGGGACAGTCCAAAAGCTCTTTTTGCTTCATTAAGCTCTTTGTAATAGTTGCGTGTTAGTTTTTAATTACTGTAACAAAAAGACCACGTAGCACCGGTCCAACACTCCCCTCACAGTACGATCTATTCCTGGATGGAGTAAATCGCCAGAGAACGGAGCATTTTGAACCGGAGTGTCGTAATTTCAATAAAATATGAATGTTTATTTTGGCCGATTACGAAATACTTAGTTGATGTTGTATCGCGCATAAATCTCTAAAGAATGATCTGACTGATCCATAGAGGCTTTTCAAGGTTGCGAAGATGTGTTAAAATAGTTTTGTATCCGTACCAGAAATAGCGTCGTTTGTAAGCGACCGGCATGTTTTCTCAAAAACATCCCTTACCATTTAGTTATTCGTCACTTTACATGTAGCAACTACCCCATCCTCCCTTTAACATGTTATAAAATGTTGAATATAATAAGCATTGTGCTTCCACTGCCGAATCTTTATATCTCTCTCGAACTCTCAATGGATTTGTGTACAATCATAACAATAACATTGCAGGCGCAGTTCAAACAGAGCCGACTAGATCCGCCGTGTCGGGTTTCTGATAAATTAGGAACAATCGTGAGGTGTAAACATCGGACGATATGCAGCTGTTCCGAGCGACAGGAAAAGTCATTCGTTGGTAGTCGAGATAAATGTATAGTTTGGCGTCGGCGGCAATTCGCGTCCGTTGGCAGTCAGTCGCCCTGGGGCCGTGTGCAGAGCTTCGCCCCAAGAATCTGGGCCGCCTGGAGCGACATTACTAAATTTGATCGTAACAAAGCTGGATGCCGGCGATTCTATAGCCTCACTAACATTTAATGAGCCTATTTTTATTAATAAAGCTATTTTAGAACATGATCTAAATACCTTGTTGTTCAAGTGAACTGAAATATCATAATCGTTTTGTTTTAACAACAATTCATTAACAGGTTGAACGGGTGCCAACATGAAAATATCTCGTTATTCGGTACTTACGATCGCGAAAGCAATACAAGTAAAATATTACAGTCCTAAATTATTGTTGTATGATTTATGAACCAGTTTGTAAGGTTTCAACCTTATTGTTCTTAAACAGTATTGATGAAAAGATTGATTAATATAATCTTTTTATAGTTATTTTATATTTATTCATTATCATCTTTTAAAATAAAGCTTTGTTCCTTTTCTTATATCCAACATTTTATATCATAAATGATATTCAACACTGATCCCTAATAAAGTTGCGGCTATAAAACATAATATATGAGAATGGCTTGTACTGAACGCTGTTTACCTTAGAGTCGATGCCGATGGTCTTATTGCATTCCTCGCAGCCGTTGGCGAACACGCTCTCGTAGCACTTGATGCAGTAGGGGTGCTCGTCGCGCAGCACGTACCGCTGGCCCGTCAGCGACTCGTCGCACTGCCAGCAGCAGAAGTGGCCGCTGTGCCAGTCCTTGTTCATTGCCTTGGTGTATTCGCCACTGAAAATGAGCTGTGAACAATGCATTGACAGTGTTCATTCCAGGACCTCACGATATAAAAAAAATCGGTCAATTTTTAATATTTTCTGGGATTTTCTGATTTAGTTAACAATTCCATTGAACCAGCTAAACGGGATGCAAACAAAGTAGGTTTACGTTTGCTAGCACATCTTATATTTCAAAACATGTTTTTGAAGCGTTTGACACACAAAATAAATTTATAAATACCTCAAATTAGGTCGGGTATGTGAGGGTGGCCAAAATACTACGTCTACGGAACATGATCGGGTACGCGTTGGACATGTCACTAGAGAGACGGATCGCGATCGGTAATCGACACTGCTGTCACAGACACACTGGCGTCACGCACTGCCCGGGGTCAAGGGAGTTTGGCCACCACAACACATACCCATCGTCGTTGTTGGTGACGTTGGTCTGCTCGACTTCGGTGACGGTGACCTCGCCATCCTTGGATTCCCTGCGCTTGGAGGTCTTCTTGACCTTCCTGGTCTTGCGCTCAGTAGTGGTGTAATTGACTTGGACGTCGACGTCGGCCATGGCTGATCGTTCAGTTCAGGATAGCGATATCACCGGACGCGGTCGCGACCCGAATTCGAATGGCGAGCTACGGTTGCCGAATCGCAGGAATTATTCCAGAATGCTTAGCGACGCTCCGCTCGGGTCGGTGGGGGGAGTACGGGGTTAAATTTGGAAGAGTGACGGAGGGGCAGGTGCGCGGGCGTCGCTTTCCGCGCGTGGCGAACCGAGGAACCCGTGCTTCCCGCAGGATCGGCTAACCAGGCTCGGATGCGTCGGCGCGACGCGACGCTAACATCTAGGGCGGACGCAACTAACACGCTAGGAATAGGTACTGCAACTTGATTTGGTCTTATCGTTTGGCCTAGTTTCAAATCTGTAATGGTGCACAATAACCGATTTACGACTGATGTTCGATAAGGGATGCGTAATTAAAGACGAGCACATGACATTTCGTTGATACATGCCAAACTACAGAGGTGACTTGATTTATTCCGTTCCAATGGACGACCTATTTCAGACTTCGCACAAGATAGCTACGAAAGTAAATTGTTATTAATTTAGTTTATTTTGTGTGTCAAACGTTGGTTATATTAAGAGATAGTTAATCATTTGAACTCAGTAAACATCATACAATTAACACATAATTTGTTATTAAATAATGCAACAGCAACCGCAGCCAAATTATTTGTGAGTGGTCAACGACTCGACTTGTAAATCCATGGTCGCCGGTTCGAAACCCGTTTGTTAAACGAGCAATTCTCATGAATGAGCATAATTTTGCTCAAACTATTGACGACAACGTCAAAACCAGAGTTTGATATTTGCAACAATTACTTTAGTCAGTTAATTGTTTATTCCAAATTATTTAATAGTAGGTGCCTATTCGGGCAACTTTCGCAAAGGTAGGTCATTGGATGGGTGACCAAAACCTTACTATCTCGAGCTCCTCCGTACTTCAGAAGGCATGGTAAGCTGTCGGTCCTGGCTGCATATGCAGTCGTTAGCACCCATCAATCCGCACTGGGCCCGCGTCACGGCCCAATCTCCCTATTCTATCCACAGGGAAGGTCTGTGCCCCAGCAGTGCAAATATAAATAGACTGATGATGATGAGGTGACTTTTAGAATTATTTCATTTTTAAGTAATTTTTTAATTTAACATTCTCTGTTACATTAATAAATTCAGAAAAATGTAGAATAAAATACACCTTGTCATCTATCTCTTGTATTTTTTTTTATTACTTATTTATCCACAAATTTAGTATTTCCTATTCGATTGGTGATTAGAAATAATGTATGTTGAATGTAAAAGTGGAATGAGCCCACCGGAATCCGAGGCCGCGTCGAGATGCAGCCAGGGAGGTCATGTGGGTGGGATAGAGAGAAAGAGGAGAGGACGGTTATACAAATAAATTTATTTCATATTTTCTACATATAAGTAAGCACAATTATTACTACGGAAACAGATAAGCTATGGGTTGACCTGTCAGACACTATTGTGTCTCAACAATCGCGTAGATAGAACCAATGCCAAATTGTAGTCGTTGGTGCTGTAATATTTACATTATAGGAACTTGATAGTTAAAGGAACTTGCCTACAAGTGAAGTTCAACCACAATTATACGAGAACCAATATCCGAAGATTTACGTCGCAAAAAGCTAACCATGTACCTGGTTATTTAAAAGTCGAGGATTTTGTATAGAAATATAAATATTTATCTCTGTCTTTGTCTTTGATGTCCTTGCAACACCACAATTACAAGGTACGTGAATACTTCAGTGGATAAATGTAGCACGAATGCTATGCATCAATGTCATGTAAAAAATATTCGTGATGATGTTCTGTTTAGATTTGTCTTTTCAACTGGCATTGTGTTCGTGTGTGTCAAACACGTCGACAAGATGCATGTTCACAACGCTGTGTGCACACAAATCAATAACAAATGGGTACATAACTGTTCATGTCATGTATGACTGAAATCGTACATTTTATTCAACTAAAATCTTGAGAGCTACGTTCCATTTCAGAACAATAGAAATCTATAACTTCTGTATAAACGATCAGAGAGATAAAGAAAGTATTTGAAAACGTCAGAAGACGGTTCTAACCTCTAGATAAATGCCTTTTTTATTGTTGAAAAAATGCGACCTACCTAATCTTTGGATGAAATATAGCTAACGTGAAAATTTAACTTTTAGAATGGGTATCGTTACCAAAATATTTCTGATCGAATATATTATGTACTTACTAATTTTCCCTCACCGAAATCGACACCTCCCTGAAGGTTTTGAACTCCGTTCTTTCTTTCAATATCACTTTTCAATAAAATAGTCCGTATTTTTTTTTGTTTATTTTCTTAATGTTTTCCTGCAATAACAAAAGGTCGTCAGGAATTCTTTGCTGGGGGAATACGGTCAGGGATAAAATCCAAGGTAAGTGTGTTTAAAAGTCCGTTGCTTTCCGTTTTGAAGTTATGTGTGTTTTCTTATAAAATAAGAAAAATAAATAGAGGGGAAATCAACCAAGAATATCAGATACACGGAATAATGTTGGCCCGTTATAAAATTTTCTTAGTTCTATTCGCTCAATCTAAATAAAAGTTTTGTCCGTGTGAACTAATCATAAGGTTCCCGATGTTTTCCAATGAGATAATATCGACGCAGCCTTTCGTCTGTCCGTCTAGACAGCGCAAACAGCGACCGGTGTCTTAGAGACCTTGCCCGGAACCACCAAGGTCTCGGACGATACCCATTCATTGATTTATTTTTAAATCTTCGACACCTGTTCCTACAGGTGGATCTGGAATTCCGATCATAGTGCATTCTTGCATAGCTTCACTTTTTTCTCTTTTTCAAGAGTGGAAGTAAAGCCAATATTTGTGATCTCTAGATTATCTTTTTGTTTTAAAACCTGTGACGCGATATGCAATATCCTTATCATTAATCTATATTCTAAGTTATGTAGTGGAAGCTAACTTCAGAAATGTCTGTAATTTTCCGACTTAACACAAAAACAGCCCTTGCTGAGTTTCCTGCAGGTTCTTCTCAGTACGAGGTAGGTCCCGCCATAGATTTGCGAATAGATGGCGTAGCTTCTCGACTTTTACAAGTGCTTATAACAGCCTAGACTAAACAAATGAGTTATGATTTTAACTTTGATTTTAATGAAAAATGCTTTTTTCATTTCTCGAATAGTAGTGACATTTCATCCTCTTTTTGCAACACCAACTAAAACGTTTTATTCTCCTTTTGTTTTGCTTTTTCCACCTGCTATCTCCCCTGTACTCTAAAATTGTTCCCTTGATTGTATCTCGGAGTGTATCAAGGATAAAAAAAAGACACCCATCCAAAATATGAATCCATCGATTTATAAAAATACAAATGAATAGAATGCCAAAAAACAAGAATAGATATGTAATAGATGGTGTATCCACCTCACTCTTTACCTAGACAGCGTATTGTTATTGGCGCATCCTATGTTTTTATTTCGTTTCCAGACCCGAATGGCAGTGTCGATTATATCGATACCAAAGCTTTTAATACTGACGTGGGTTTGAATGGTTATAAAACAATGGCCACGTAAGCAATTATGTCAGCTTATTTGTTCAGCTAGGGCGTTAAAGGTACGCCTACGATTCATATACAAATTACAACGAGATGAGAGATGTCTAGAAGGGAAACATGTGAGCGGTAAAACTATTTCATTCAGACCATTATACCTATATATTCCGATTATTTTACTACTCACGAAATATATAAAAAGTTCCTAGTCAAATATATTCTGTGATACGACTTGCCTAAGCTTAAGTTCATACATAAGTTGTATTCAAACTTCTTAACTCCTTCCGCCTTATTTCAAAACGTAGACTAAAGTTAAACCTGGACTAAAATTGAACCAAGACTAACATTAAGTTAAACCAATACTAACTTTTATCCGCGTTTTGGAATAAGAGGGTATGTGTTCTAACTTACATCAAAAATTTGTTGGTTTCATTCGTGCTTGGGCTATAAGATCCTCAGATTAGAAATTTATAAGATTGCTAGTGTAGATAAAAGAAAACCGTTAAACTCCTTAGGTAATATGATTATTGACTTACGCTGGCATCATTTCCAGCGGTTATATTTAGCCACTTGACGAATGTTACACCGCCCAGGAATAGGTTAGAAAGGAGAGCAGTTATTTCTTCTTGCCACTAATATAAGTATGTGTGCGTGATTATTATTCTCGAAGTAAAGATTTGAATAATATTGTGTTCGTTTCTCTGTTTCTTTCTGTACGTTGACAGCTTGTCTGACTTCACGTTGTTTTGTGGTAAGAAAATGGGATTGAAAATTAACGTTGGTAATCATGTGTTTTTGAACATTAACATTTTTGTGAATTGAAAGTGCTTTTACGGTATTTATTGATTTAATACTATTTTTAATAAAAGCGCTTGACACTTTGTTTATTTCTAGTAAAGGCAAAATGTAAC